TTTTAAAAATGTTTTATAACTTTAATTTTTCACTCATCAGTGTCTAAATACACTGCCTGTAATGTTTTCTTAATTTATTAAATTTATTTATTTATTTTTTACTTGACTGGACTTTTTATTTCTTTGGCTCTTCATAATCCTAAGAAATACAAATATCTTTTCTCTTTAACTTTAGAGATCTTTGAAGTTGATGGACTTCTTTTTTATTATTATTATTTTAACATTTACTTGTACATGTTTGTGGGGTACAGTGTGCTGTTTCAATACATGCATATACTGGGCCGGCCCGTGGCTCACTCGGGAGAGTATGGTTCTGATAGCACCAAGGCCACGGGTTTGGATCCTATATAGGGATGGCCAGTTCACTCACTGGCTGAGCGTGGTGCTGACAACACCAAGCCAAGGGTTGAGATCCCCTTACTGGTCATCTTAAAAAAAAAAAAAAATGCATGTACTGCACAGTGATTCACTTAGGGCAGATAGCATAGTTTTGTACCTGTTAGCCCTCCCCAACCCCCAACCTTCCTCCACTCCTGGCCTCTGGTAACCATTATTTTACTTTCTACTTCTATGAGAACCACTTTTTTTTTTTTTTTTTTATGGATTCCACATATGAGTGAGAGCACGTGGTATTTGTCTTTCTGTACCTGACTTACTTCATTTAACATTATGGTATCCAGCTCCATTCACGTTGCTGCAAACGATAGGGTATCATTTCTTTATATAGCTGAATAGTATTCCATTGTGTATATATATCACAGTTTGTTGGGTTTTTTTATCCATTCTTCCATTGATGGGCATTTAGGTTGATTCCATCTTTTGCCTACTGTGAATAGTGTTACGATGAACATGGGGTGCAGGTGTCTTTTTGATGTATTCATTTCATTTCCTTTGGGTATATACCCAGTACTGAGATAGCTGAGTCATAAGGTGGATCTATTTTCAGTTCTCTGAGGAACCTCCATACTGTTTTCCACAGTGGATGTACCAATTTACATTCCCACCAACAATGCAAGACGGTTCCCTTTTCTCTGCATCCTCACCAGCATTTGTTATTTTTTGTCTTGTTGATAATAGCCATTCTAACAGGCGTAAGATAATATCTCATTGTGGTTTTAATTTGCATTTCCCTAATAATTAGTGATTTTGAGTAGTTTTTGATGTGCTCATTAGCTATGTGTATGTCTTCTTTTGAGGAATGTCTATTCAGGTCCTTTGTCCATTTTTGAATTGGGTTATTTGGTTTTTTGCTGTTGAGTTGTTTGAGTTCCTTATATATTCTGGATATTAGCCCCTTCTCTGGTGTGTAGTTTGCAAACACTTTCTCCCATTCTGTAGGTTGTTTCTTCACTTAATTGATGGTGTCCCTTGCTGTGCAGAAGCTTTTAAGTTTGCTGTAGTCCCATTTGTGGATTTTTGCTTTAGTTGCCTGTGCTTTGTAGTCTCATTCAAAAAAGTACTGCCAGGGCCAAACTGTGGCTCACTTGAGAGAGTGTCGTGCTGATAATACCAAGGCCATAGGTTTGGATTGCTATATAGAGATGGCTGGTTAGCTTACTTGGGAGAGCGTGGTGCTAACAACACGAAGTCAAGGGTTAAGATCCCCTTACTGGTCATCTTTAAAAAGCAAAACAAAACAAAACAAAACTTCCCACTCCCATTTTGTGTAGCATTTCCCCTATGTTTTCTTCTAGTAGTTTCATAGTTTTGAGTCTTAAATTTTTAAGTCTTCAATCCATTTTGAGTTGATTTTTGTGTATGGTGAGAGATAGGGGTCTAGTTTCAATCTTTTGCATATGTATATCCAGTTTTTGTAGCACCATTTATTGAAGAAGTTGTCCTTTCCTCACTGTCACCTTTGTCAAATATCAGTTGGCTATCAGTGTGTGGTTTTATTTCTGGTCTGTCTATTCTGTTCTATCGGTCTATTTGTCTGTTTTTATGCCAGTACCATGCTGTTTTGGTTATTATAGCTTTACATTGTATCCTGCACCTTTACTGGATTGATTTACTAGTTCCAACAGTCTTGTATATTTGTTTTTGGTTTTATTGTGGGGGGTTTTTTTGTTTGTTTGTTTTGGGGTTTTTTTGGCTGCCAGCTGGTAAGGGGATCCAAACTGTAGTATACTTTGAAGTCAGGAAGTGTGATGCCTTCAATTTTGTTCTTTTTATTCAAGATTGCTTTAGCTGTGTTGGATGTTTTGTGGTTTTATGCAAACTTCATGATCATTTTTCTATTTCTATGAAGAATGTCATTGGTAATTTGATAGAGCTTGTGTTGAATGTGTAGATTGCTTTGGGTAATATGGACATTTTGATGATGTTAATTATTCCAACCCATGAACATGGGATATCTTTCCATTTATGTATGTCCTCTTCAATTTTTTTCACCCATGTTTTAGTTTTCATTGTAGAGCTCTTTCACCTCCTAGGTTAAACTGACTCCTAGGTATTTCATATTGTGGGTAGCTATTGAGAATGGGATTACTTTCTTGATTTCTTCTTCAGCTGTTTCATTATTGGTGCAGGAAGGCTATTTTTGTGTGTGTGTTAAATTTGTATCCTGCCACTATAATGAATTTGTTTATTAGTTCTAGTAATTTTTTGGTGGAGTCTGTAATTTTCTATGTATATGATTGTGTCATCTGCAAATAGGGATTCTTTGACTTCTTCCTTTCCAATTTGGATGCTCTTCCTTGCTTTCTCTTGCCTTATTGTGCTGGCTAGAACTTCCAGTACTATGTTGAATAAAAGTGGGGAAAGTAGGATGGTAGGCATCCTTGTCTTGTTCCACATCTTAGAAGAAAAGCCTCCAGTTTTTGTTCATTCAGTATAATATTAGCTGTAGGTTTGTCATATATGGCCTTTATTGTGTTGAGAAGCATTTCTTCTATACCTAATTTGTTGACTGTTTTTATCAAGAAGGTGTGTTGGATTTTATCAAATGCTTTTTGTGCATTTATTGAAATGATTATATGGTTCTTTTCCTTCATTCTGTTGATGTGATGATCACATTTATTTACTTGCATATGTTGAACCATCCTTGCATCCCTGGGATGAATCCCACATGACCATGGTGAGTGATTCTTTTAATGTATTGTTGGATTCCGTTTGCTAGTATTTTTTGAGGATCTTCACATCTGTGATCATTAGGGATATTGGTCTGTAATTTTCTTTTTTTGTTGTGTCTTTTTTCTGGTTTTGGTATGAGGTTAATGTTGGCCTCATAGAATGAGTTTGGAAGTATTCTTCCCTCTTCAATTTTTTGGAAGAGTTTAAGAAGAATTGGTGTTAGTTATTCTTTAAATCCTTGGTAAAATTTGGCAGTGAAGCCACCTGGTTCTGGGGTTTTCTTTGTAGGGAGACTTTATTACTGCTTCAATCTCATTACTTGTTATTGGTCTGTTTAGGTTTTCTAGTTTTTCATGATTCAACCTTGGTAAATTGTATGTATCCAGGAATTTATCCATTTCTTCTAGGTTTTCCATTTTGTTCACCTATAGTTGTTCATAGTAATCTTTTATGATCTTTTATATTTATAGTATCTGTTGTAATGTCTCCTTTCTCATTCTGGATTTTATTTATTTGGGTCTTCTCTTTTTTCTTTGTTAGTCTACCTAAGTTTTGTCAATTTTGTTTATCATTTTGAAAAGCAAACTCTTTGTTTTATTGATCTTTTGTATTGTATTTTAATCTCTACTTCATTTATTTCTGCTCTGATCTTTATTATTTCTCCGCCCCCCTGCGCCATGATCTCTGTTCTTTCTCTCCTTGTACTGATTTTGGGTTTGGTTTGTTCTTGTCTTTCCACCTCCTTGAGATATAATGTTAGGTTGTTTATTAGAGCGTGGTGCTGACAACACCAAGTCAAGGGTTAAGATCCCCTTACTGGTAATCTTTTAAAAGAAAAGATAAGAAAAGAAAAGATTCCAGGAAACAGCTAGAAATTAACTTCAGGTCAATGTGTCCTTAGAGAAGGAGAAAGAGTTGTGTTTGCCCTTTATTTATAATTGCTTTTGTCCTAAGTGCTGCAAAGGAGAAGTACAGGGTGTAAAGAGTGTTTATGACTGAGGAGCTGATGCTCTGTGGTACCTTCATTCCTTACCCAGCAAATATTCAGTGGTTTCAACATAAACACAGGATGCTGATGCGCTCCTCTTCATTTTGCAGATCAGTCATCATGGAGAACCTTGGTTGCTGGATGCTGATTCTCTTTGTGGCCACATGGAGTGACATAGGCCTCTGCAAGAAGCGACCCAAGCCTGGAGGATGGAACACTGGGGGGAGCCGATACCCGGGCCAGGGCAGCCCTGGAGGCAACCGCTACCCACCCCAGGGTGGTGGTGGCTGGGGGCAGCCTCACGGTGGCGCTGGATGCTGATTCTCTTTGTGGCCACATGGAGTGACATAGGCCTCTGCAAGAAGCGACCCAAGCCTGGAGGATGGAACACTGGGGGGAGCCGATACCCGGGCCAGGGCAGCCCTGGAGGCAACCGCTACCCACCCCAGGGTGGTGGTGGCTGGGGGCAGCCCCATGGTGGTGGCTGGGGACAACCCCATGGTGGCGGCTGGGGACAGCCTCATGGTGGTGGTGGCTGGGGTCAAGGAGGTGGCACCCACAGTCAATGGGGAAAGCCCAGTAAGCCAAAAACCAACCTGAAGCAGATGGCAGGCGCTGCCGCAGCTGGGGCAGTGGTGGGAGGCCTCGGCGGCTATATGCTGGGGAGTGCCATGAGCAGGCCCCTCATACATTTTGGCAATGACTATGAGGACCGTTACTATCGTGAAAATATGTACCGTTACCCCAACCAAGTGTACTACAGGCCGGTGGATCAGTACAGCAACCAGAACAACTTCGTGCATGACTGCGTCAACATCACGGTCAAGCAGCACACGGTCACCACCACTACCAAAGGGGAGAACTTCACCGAGACCGATATTAAGATAATGGAGCGTGTGGTTGAGCAGATGTGTATCACCCAGTACCAGAAGGAACAGCAGGCTTATTACCAAAGAGGCTCGAGCTTGGCTCTCCTCTCCTCCCCGCCTGTGATCCTCCTCATCTCCTTCCTCATCTTCCTGATAGTGGGATGAGGCAGGTCTTCCTGTTTCACCATCTTTTTCATCTTTTTCCAGGTTGGGGGAGGGGGTGTCCACTTGCAGCCCTTTCAGCAGTGGCGTCTCATTCTTGCTTCTCCTTGTCCCCCATAGGCTAACACCCTTGGCACTGATGGGCACTGGGAAATGTAGAGTAGACCTGGGATGCTGTTTATTCAGGCCCCCTTTGATTGAGTCCTTCACAGGCCCGTGCTAGTGCTGGCCCAGGAAAAATATAACAGCAAATAATCCCTGGTTATTCTAGGCTTATTTTTAGTCTACTATAACAGGTTGAGGCTAAAACATCTCAAAACAGCCCTCAGATACCTTTGCCTGAATACCTCTAGCTCCTTCAGCAGTCAGGACTCAGCATACCAGTGCCCCAACTCAGCAGTGATTTTATAGCAATTTAGAGAAATTTTCTCATCCGTTTTAAGACAACCTGACAGCACTTCTGCCAAGTTTGGAAGGAGGCCGCATGGTACTCACTCAAAAAAAAAAGCAAACACGAGAAATCCTTAGCTCTCGGGCCACAGGCTTCGCCCACTGGAGCATGTGCTGTGTCCACAGAGACTGTGGCAGCACTTGGCCTTTTGCAGTGCGGGCTGCACAGAGGCTGTTGCATCAAGAGTAAATACTGTGCAACACAAGACCTCTGGCCAGAGGACATTTTCACAGAGAATGAACATAACTGTAACATATGTGAAAATCTTCTGGGACTGAAAAATCCAACATTTGGGAGTGGTGCCCTGAAAGACACCTCCCATTTTGGATGTTTAAAGCACCTACATGTGGCATTCCTTTTGTTAGTAACATAAACTCTAGATAATTAAGGCAGCAAAAATTAAATTACCTTCTACACACTGAAAGTAAATCTCCTTTGTTCATTTACTTGGAAACCAAAATGATTTTAATGTTGTTTAGGTGAAACCAGAAGACTTTAAAACAGAGGAAAGCTGCAGTTGTCCAAGCACAGTCGTCACAGAGGATCATGTAATGAAGAAAATGGTTAGTGTTTAAAGAAAAGAAATGCTTCCATTCCTTCATTTCTGGCTCATAATTGTCAAAAACCAGAATTAGGTCAAGTCCTTAGTTTTTGTAATTGGCTTTTGAATTAAAGAGTAGGAAGACAATCTAAAAAATAGGTTGGAGATGACAGAAATATGATCTACTTATAGTAGAAAAGGAAATTCTGTTAATGTCATTTAAGTAAGGTAAAATTACTCCCTGAATTGTTCAACATTGTCACCTAGCAGATACATATTACTGTTCTGCAATGTCATTGGCTTGCATTGTGTGGGTATTCTATGTAAAAAAATATATATATAAAATGTATATTGCTTATGACAAACTTAGAAGTTTCTTTTAGAGCAGTTTAACAGCTGAAGTATCTAATGCATTAATTGTTTTGTAAGGTACTAAATACCTAATTTGTATATATATATAAAATGTATATTGCTTATGACAAACTTAGAAGTTTCTTTTAGAGCAGTTTAATAGCTGAAGTATCTAATGCATTAATTGTTTTGTAAGGTACTAAATACCTAATTTGTGGGAAACCCTTTTGCATGGAACTTAGGCTTACAATGTGCACTGAATAGTTTTGTATAAGAATCCAAACTGGACACTGTTAACTGGTCTTTGAAATATGCATGTACTTTATATTTTCTATATTTATAACTTTGCATGTACTTGTTTTGTTGTACACAAAATTTATAAATGTTTACTATCTGACTGAAATTAAAGAAGCTGAGATGAGCATCATCTCTGGAGTGGGCTGCTGTAGTCTCTGGAGCTCACCCTGTGTGGGCAGGAGCACTTGGGGGATTAATCGGAGCCTAGTGGCACTTTCAGTTCTCATACCGCAAGTGGTGGCCAATGTTCCGTGTACCTGCTCCTGATCCTGCCTCAGTCATGTACCAGTTTATTCTGCTGCATTTTCACCTTTTCCACAAGTATCTAAGTGTGCTTAGCACTGGGTAAACAGCAAAGGCACTATTGCATCAGGAGGAAACCAGTCTTCACACTCTGGAAGCTTTTTTCTGCCCTGGATTTAGAAATAGATTTTCTTGATTGAAATGAACAGGCTCTAAAGTACCTACTCTATGCCCCCCTAACTCAGACTCTAAAGTATTCTTGGGTCCTGTGAGCCCCAGTGACAATCACTCTCAGATTCAATGCCTTTGGTCCAAAGGCCACTTTAATTTGTCCCAATCTTTCAATTCATTCTACACATGTCCTGCCTTCTCGAATGTGAGGCACCAGAGCTGGAATGCTCTTGGTTATCCTTGGCAGAGGTTTTCTTCTGCAACTAGAATTTGCTAAAGGCAGGAAGTAATCACAAGAAGTGACAGTAACTGAAATGATAATATTAATACTTTAGCAAATGCCTGTGTTGTAAATGGGGGAGTAAATTCCCATGGTGGGATCTTTAAGGAACATTCTGACATGGCTGGGGAAATCACACTCAGAGAGGCATATGAAATTAAAGGACCCACAGGTCCTAGAGACAGGAGGTACAACACACCACGCAGGGCGCCATATGGGAGGAGCTCCCAGGGAGTGGGATGAACCCAGCAGGTGGGAGGCAAGAGAGAAGACCCCTGGGAAAGTGCCTTTACTGGGGATCAGGGTGGAGTACACAAGCAAAAGCATGAGGGGTTCTCAGTGGTGCGTTTGAATGTTACTAGATAACAGGGGAGGGCAGGAAGGGGAACTTGAGGCAGGGACTAGACTTAACACACGGTGCACCTGGTCGCCTGGGCACGGTGCTCACAGGCTGTTTGTGAGCATGTTTAGACATCAGGAAAATATGAAGTTTTTAAAATTTACAATACAACACCAATATCCTGCAGTGAGCAGAGGATCAACTTTGTATTAAAGATGGAAAGATAGAAATCAACACCTTGAAACCCCATTATTCACAAAACTACTAAAACAAAATGATATATACAAATTCTCAGAAGCATTACTCGTTTATAAATGGACTTCAAAGTTGATCCTTAACAAAAATTTCTAGAGCTATTTTCACTCAACCTGTTTTGCCATTTTCCTATTTAAAAGTAAACTCTTTATTAATATGCCAATCATAATTTCTCAAAAATAGCCCACTGAGAAGACTTAAGTTATTCAAAGCATAGGTATTTGTAGGGCCAGAATGAATAATATTCACCTGTATCTTCCCCAGGCCCTCGTGTTTTCTTCCTGTTACTTCCAACTCCTGTGAGCTGTGCAAAAGGAATTTTTACATTAAATAAATAAATATAAATTTTAAATGACTGACATAAACGTAACTGAGTCAAACCTCCACAAAGTGCCTCCTTTGTCTCCCCTCCTTGTCCTCTGCCCTTGGAGGGAAATTTGGGTCTGTCCTGCTTCGCAACTCTGGAAACTTTTCCAAGGCTCAGAGCCTGATCTTGACAACTGACCTGAGCATTCCATGATTCATTTCCATCCTTTGACCCATCCTGTGAGTCCTACCCATGTTCCTCAGGGAAGTCACTCCGGGCCACACACTTCACCTGTGTGTCTGTAGAACTGTCCCTCCCTTCTTGACCTAGAGCAGGGCTCCTTAAACTTAATGTGCACACAAATCTTCAGGTCTCAACACCTAGGCCTGGGAGGGGCCCAAGATTCTACATTTCTAGCAAGCTCCTAGATGATTCTGTGCTGCTCCTGTAACAAGGCTCTGCTGGGTCTCACGTTGGGGCCTGTGTCAGAAACACCCGGAGGGCTTGTTAACAGATAGCTGGGCCCCACCCCCAGATTTCTGATTCCTGAGTACTGGGGTGGGGCCCCATAATTTGCATTTCTAACAAATTCCCAGGTGATACTATGCTGCTGGTGTAGAGATTACACATGGAAATCCACCGCTCTACAGGAAGATGCAAAAGAAATGGAAGGCTGCCCCAAGCCCTGATACTCTCTGCTGTAAGAGACCAAACAACTGCCTGGGAAATAAGAACCTGGGAATTCTCCCTGGAAGGAGGAAAGAGCTGGAATCTCTAGGGGTGAATGACAATGAGAGTGTAAGTGAGACAGGTTAAGGCTAAACTTGTGAACCAAACTGACTCCATTTTCCCAGCAGAGGACATCTTGTCACTTTTCCATTCCTCAGTCATGACACTCCCAGGGTGCATGACTACCCCGTGGCCCTGATAAAAGTAACTGAAAGAGATCAGTTGGGTACAACCACCCTGATAAAATAAACTGAGATAAGAGTAGAACAGATATTTACTGAGTTATGAAAACCTTCCCCAACTTTAACCCAACTCCTGCATGCATATGAAGCTTCAAGGTGACCACTACAACCCTCCTGGGGTAGAAATTATGAGAAAAACCACCATCTTGGACCTGCTGAGCAGATGCAAAGACCAAAGCCCTAACTGAGCATGCACCCATCATGCAACTAGGAAGACAAGAATAGACCAACTCCAGAGGCACAGAATGGTGATGCTGGCCTGCATCCCTCCTGCCCCTGCTCTATAAAGGACCCTGAACAGCCCCTCCACTTTGGGAGCTAGTTTCCCTATAGCTGCCTCCCTTATGCATAAGTCTATCACCTCTTTCAATAAAGTGTTGCTTGGTTTACTGCTGGGTGCATTGTTCATTTCTATGACTTTGGGACCCAAGGACCTAATTTGGTAACATAAAGAGGTGATTAACTCCTGGTGTCTGAAAATCATGAAGCACAGTTGAGTCCTGATGCCCACCATTAGTGAGAGATTTAACTAAACCTGGGATAGAACCCAGACCACTACAGCAGCACTTCTTAGACTCAGATGTATGCACAAATCACCTGAGATCTTGTTAGAATTCAGGTCGGAGACTGCAGGTCTGAGGTGGGCTTGGAGATAACTACAGCTCTACAAGCTCCCAGGTAATGTGATGCTGTTGGTCCAAGGAACACAGTCTGAGAAACAGGGACCTAGAGGCCCAAGTCATCTTGGAGAGCTCTTCTAACCCTGGACAAGAGTTTGGGGAATCACTGGGGCCTCAGGAGGCTGGCAGGGGAGTCTTTACCTTCTCTTGCTTTAGCTCTAATGGCTGCCTCTCCTGCCTCTTTAGCCTGAGCTCAGTCAACAGAGTTGACCCAGGCTTGTAACTTATCTCAGAGCCATGCATAGTCTGTTTCCTGGAGGAACACGCTCTGAGGAAGTCTCAAATCCTCTGCTGCAATGACTTCACCCCAGGGCCTCCATTTCCTTGAACCTCCAACAAACTTGCTTGTTCTACAGAAATTGCCCTTGATTTCCAAGATAAGAGGATGAGGAAGGTGGCATTTTCACCTATGGGGCTTCTACAAGATGGATATGGGCCTGTGGGACTCAAGGTAGCACATGTGAGGTGTATATAGTAGCTTGCTCATCAGGCTTAGAAATTAGATTCAGAATTTTTAGAATTATGCTGAAGAATTCTCAGGGGCAACCCCTTCAAAACCAAAGACCTGTGGAGAAAGACCTCTAGTCTTGCACCAGGAAACCTGTGGCTGATTCCTATAGTGGCTGCTTCTGAGCCCAGCATGTCCTGATGCTTTGACAGCCAAAGGGGCAGGGAGTTAGGCCTCTGAGGCCTGTTACTGTCCCATGCAGCCCCAGGCCATGGTGCTCCCTTTGTCCAAGGCCCTGGCTTCTCTCCATAGTCCTGAGACCCAGGAACTGGGGCCCCTACCCTCACTGTGTGCTTTAAAGTGTTCTCCAGTCCTCCAATCAGAAGCCGCTCTTCCTAGACCCCATTCCAGGTACCTGAGATGTCAGAATTCTTGCCCAAACAGCCCTAAGCCAACTTTCAGCACCTGTATCCGTCCGTCCTCCCACAGGGGGGACCACACCACAGGTATACTCACCTCAGTGTCCAAGAAGTAGCCACAGTGTAGCTGTTGGGGCAGGGTACTATGGAGAGAGCTTGGACGTGTGAGCCCGGATGTCCACACCCATGAATGTGAGGCACCCACAGATGCAGGATGGATTCAGGTGGGAAGTGAACGGGTGGGCCATGGGCTGGCAGCTTCCCTTTGGACTCTTCCTCCAGGCCCTGAAAATGTTAGAAGCAGTCCTGCCCCCAAGCTTCCAGCAGAAAGCAGTGACTTAATTTCGTAATTAAGTCATTATTTTTTACAAACATCCCCAAATCATGAAAGTATTTTCAGTTCTCCACAAGGCCAGGACTGATCATGTCAGGTTCGGGCTCACCCCCTCCCAAGCCACCTCCAGCCCCTAGACGTCAACAGACTCACACTGGCGCCTGCCAGGCCACTCACCACCCAGGACAGATGTTCCTTACCTTCTTCTCAGGGCCTCACACCCAATTAGTCCAAATACACTCATGTTTCCAAGGACCTTTTTGATGAACTTCTAGAAAGTGGCCTGTGCTGTGGAAATTTCTTGTAGCATGTTTTCAAATTTGTAGGATCCCAACAGTCAAGTGACAACAGTTTTCTTGCTTCCACCAGAGACTCTGCTAATAATCTCTTCTAAGATCTGACCCTCAGAGCCACTGGTGGTTCGTCAATTCAATTTAAAAAATTATAGTGAGCCACAATTTAAAACATGTTTAAAATTATACTGCTATCAAGCAATAAAATGCTATACAACAACTATAAATTATGCTAGAAGAATTGTTCATCACACGAGGAAATGTGCACAATATAATTTTAAGTGAAAATCAGAGTGTGGACCTATAATGGCAGTATATCCATTTTTTAGAAAACAAAGAAATAAAATATACAAATTCACAGAAAATAATACTAGAAACATATAGGCCTT